CATGCTCATAAACAACTCTATATGCTCACAACCTATACTTCATATAAACATGTTTTCTCAAGTACTCAACTTAGACACAAATCTCATGCTTTAAACAGATATCTCTAAACATAGCTCAATACACAAACTCATGCTCAAACTAATAGATAAAGAGATACTTAAAACTCTAACAAGCAAGCTCATGCTATCATGCCAACTCATAAACAACAACAAAGTACTATACTTCTCATCATACTCTAAATGCAAATCATGCAAGTCATACAACAGAAAATGTCATGATGCTAGAAGTATATAAGTATATATATATATATATATATATATATATATATATATATATATATATATATATATATATATATATATATATATATATATATATATATATATATATATATATACACACACTTTCGCTCTTATGTAAAAAGAAATGCCTTTTTTTGTGGAGGTTTCTGTTGAGTCACATAGACTCGCTTTTCTCTTCTTTCTCTTGAGTCTCTTGACTCACTTTTCTCTTCTTTCTCTTGAGTCTCTTGACTCGCTTTTCTCTTCTTTACTTTCTTTCTTTCTTTCTTTACTCGTGGGCGAGGTAAGAACTTCACCAATTTGTGAACGAACCTATCCGAGCTCGGCATCTAGCCGGCCCAATACTCAATCTCGCCCACAAAACCACTCTCTTGGTTCTTATCTCAATCTCTATGGAATCAGGTATCGTACTTGTCAGTGTGCACACCCCCTAACCAGGATTCCACGCCCGGCAGGTAGTATCCAACCTAGTAACCCGAGAATGTTGACCAAGTTACTTCATAAATCTCTGTCGGTCTTCTTTGACCATTTCTTTCTTTTCTCAAGCATTATTTCTTTCTCTTTTTTTCTGAAAGGACATAGTCCTAACGGGCCTCCTAAACTCTATTTTCCTCACAATAGATAACATATAGATATACCTCATGCAACTTGTTTCTCATGCAACAAACTTTAACTTTTGCAAGCCTTGCTATGCACATAAATCTCAACAACTTCTCTTTCTCACATTTTGGAAATCAAATATCATGCAATCATCTCAATGCTAAGTAGATAATGATTTTCCAAAATAGATATAGGTTTTTGAAATAGATCTTAGGCTTTACTTAAAGCCAATAATGCGCTTTAAGCAATGATATCTACTAACATGCTCTTTACTGTGAAAATATACTCTAAATCTCATTCACTGTGAAACAAGGAAATATGCACTGCTTTATACTAAAATCTCAACACTTAGCAAATCTACTCAATAAATACTTAACAAGTATTTATCATGCTTTTCAAATCAAGTAACAATACTCAAAATCTATAATCTCATTTACTGATTCTTAGTTCACAGATAAACAATAACAGAGCATTCATTCCTTCAACATTTCTATCTGTTTATCATGCTTTCCAACTCCAAATTCAACAAAACTACCTTCTACTAGTGCGTTGTAACGAGCCCGAGTGTCCGAGCCTCAAGGGCCCACAAGTCCTGGTCCGAACAACACGTAGCTGAGCCACAGACGGCCCGACCAGAACCATCTTTGTCCTGGCAGAGCTTGGTGACGAGGCTTGTGAAGCCCCGCCGAGCGGCCCTTGGCAACGGATCTAGCTGTGATCCGTTACCTTGGTACGAGGCTTCACGAGACTAGCCAGCGGACCTTGCCAAGGTACGTTGGCTAGATCTGTTGGGCTTACTGGTGCACCAGACCCATTCTTCTTCACCTGTAGGCTTCTCAAATTAACAAAAATACTTCCAACCCTCAATAAATCAATCGTAGATCATCAACAACACACAAATAGCTCAACAACAAACATTATCTAAGATTTCTAAACATTTATTTCTCACTTCTAGCATTTAACAGAGTCAAAATCTAGTTTGGGAGTCCATGGTTTATACCTTGTGGTTCTTCCTCTTCTTGTGTGGATCCCTTCTTCCTCTCTATTCAACTACTACCTCCTTCACCACCTATACACCTCAAACAAACAATACATACCAAGCTAACCTTAAATGAGAAGATGAAATGAAGGGATGGGATGCACTTACTGTGTTTATTTTCCTTCTTCTACAGAGAGCTCAAACAAGGGAACAAAGAGGCAAAAGAAAGGGATCATGTGAAAACAAAGGATACATAAATGGGTTCAAAACCCTAGGTTGATCTTAAATGATTGGTTGAGGGCAAAGGACAAATTTGGCTTGCTTCTTAAAATATCAGACAAGGCTTATAGAAGTATCTAGATTCACCTTGTATCATGGACCAATATCTCAAAAATGATTTTGGATAACTTGGGGTCAAAAATAGATTTTCTGAAAATAGTTTGTAGTTAAAACACTTGGTTCAGGTTTCACTCAGGTTGACTTTTTGGGTCAAAACTTAGTACATAAATGTACCCGAAACTTAGGATTTTCGAAATAAGATATTCTTGGTGTTGAATTTATTTAAAAACTCGGTTAAAAATATTTAATTCATACACCGTTTTCGAAATAAAATTTTTGGTAGAGTGAAAATAGCTATTTTAATAATTTTATAAAATAGAATTTAGTAAAATTATTTTTGGGTTGTCACACCAAGCCCCGAAAGGCGTTTTTGTGGTCGATTAGCTCACTGATGCCCAAGGTCAACTGTACTGGTCGAATAGTTGAAGGAGCAGTCAGCTGGTCGGACGAATATAGATGCATTTTTCTATCTCTTGATGACGGTGTTTAGCCCGTCCATGAAGCCCTGGCCATCGCGCTAAGAGATGGAAAGGTATCCTGGTGAGTTGGAAGTCACTCGGGAGACGTGAAAAAGTTAGGTGAAAAGGGGCAGAGTGGGTGTGATGTTGAGATGATGGTAGAGGGCGAAGAAGTCCGACATCAACCGGTATGTGTTAGGAGGAAGCTAGTCACGCACGATGCTGAAATAACGGAAGACATCCTCAAAGCCAAACCAAATAGCCTTGAGTAGACTCCGATATAGCCACCGACCGACGGATAAAAAATGGGCCAAGTTCTGTCAAGAACCACCTCCGTAGAGGGGGGGGGGGGGGGGGGGTTCTCGGGATCGCGACATGTGCTGAACCATTTTAATATATATTTTTAATACTAAGTGAGATCAGCTAATTTATGGTACTCAATGAGAAAAATAATAATTGTATTATCACGTAGATTATCAATGATTTTGGTATGATCCCTTTAATTTTATCGAAAAAAAATTTAAAATGTTTTATTTACTCTTCTTTTAGGTTTACTCTCTTACAGTGACTCTTTATTGGGTAGTAATCTCAAGGTTTATCTGAAAAAATAATAGAATTAAAATGATTAGAGTGACAGAGGTGAGATAAAGCGATATCGGTTTAACCGTCGAAGCAGATCACCACTTTCACTTCATTCTTACCGCAATATTGTACTATATAGTGGTCGAAGTAATCGACCATTTTAACCCCAACATTAACAAATGAGTTTTTAGTTAGCGGCTACTTAGGCAGGTTTTACAAATGACAATGAGTCAAGGGTGGATTGAGAAGGACTACATCTATTACCTGACTCACCTTATACTATCTTCACCGACGATCCTCATCGTGGAGATTTTTTCAAAACTCAACCCCGTCCCACCGAGTGGAGATACCTAAACATAATTTTTTTAAAAAATAATATTTAAATTACTTATACATAATAAAATAAAAAATTCATTAGCTATACTAAAAAAATAGAAATATTTAAATAAAATAACTAATTTGTTAATTTTTTAAAATAAACTTAGTAGTTTAGAAATAATAATAGTAAAACGTTAACAAAAGTACATAGAACCCGAATTCAACATGACCCTTGTTGGTTTAATTTTTTAAGACCTACCGGCCACCATAGACTCACTACCTACTATAATCTAAAAAAACTGGATTTATGTGGGGTGAATATTCGCGAAGCAGATTGAAACTATTATAGCATGTTTGGTTCACGGAATGAATTTTGAGGTAATAGGAATGCTATTCCATAAGGAATGGAATAGGCAAGGAATATAATAGGAATTGTATTCTATTGTTTGGTTCGCGGAAGGAATAAACTTTAGGAATTATATTACAGTGTTTGGTTGATTTAAGGAATAGAAATGAAATATGTTTTAAAAGACATAAATACCCTTATAAAAATATGTGATGGTGGCGATGGTGGTGGCGGTGGTGGCGATGGTGGTGGCGGTGGCAGTGATGGTGGTGGTGGCGGTGGTGGTGGTGGTGTTGGGGTGGTGGCGTTGGCAGTGGTGGGGGCGACGGTGGTGGTGGTGACGGCGATGGTTGTGGCGGTGGCGGTGGTGGCGGTGGCGGTGGTGCTGCTGGGTGGTGGTTCTGGTGGCGGTGGTGGTGGTGGTGGCGATGGTGGTGGCGGTGGTGGTGATGGTGGTGGTGATGGCGGTGGTGGTGCTGGGGTGGTAGTGGTGGTGGTGGCGGTGACAGTGATGGGGCGGCGGTGGTGGTGGGGTGGCGATGGTTGTGGCGATGGTGGGGGTGGTGGCGGCGACGGTGATGGTGGGGGTGGTGGTGGTGGCGGCGACGACGGTGATGTTGGTGGTGGCGGTGGTGGTGCTGGGGTGGTAGTGGTGGTGGCGGCGGTGACAGTGGTGGGGGCGACGGTGGTGCTGGGGGCGGCGATGGTGGTGGTGGAGTCGGAGACGGCGATGGTGGTGGTGGCGGCGGTGATGGTGGTGGTGGCAACGACGGTGGTGAAATATGATAAATTTATATATAGGATAAAAGAATTAGGTTAAAGAAATTGGTAAAAAAGAAAATAGATTCTAAAATCTATTCCGGGTTCAGTAATAGGCTAATACCAGGGGGCCCTAGTAATAGCTATTGCCTTATTTGAGGTAATAGAAATGGTTACCAAACAAATGAATAGGTCTATTACTGGAAATGCTATGACATTCACGGCCTATGTCGTGAACCAAACAGGCCATTATGAAATAGTGATTGTACCTTTATTAAGTCAAAATAAAAATAAAAACTGGTATGGATAAAAGTGCATTTGCTTACTTTAAGGCTCGCACATATATGCCAATTGGCAACGGCCATTATCACCTAGGGCCCATAAAGAAGATCCCCTTTCTTCTCCCTTTCTATTTTCGTTTTTTTAATTTCATTTTCCATTCTCTTCTGCAATGTCGTCTAACAACAAATCTCCCATTTTTCCCTTCCCACAACCTCAACACTTCACTGACTATGTATTTGACCCTCAAGTCGACTACTTTCAGGTAAGCCAAATTAATGATAAAATTATACTACTACATACTCATGCTTTAATTTGCCAATGTTAATTTGTTTTTGTTTTTTTGATTTTGTGTTTGGAAAAGAAAAATATTTTGGAAGAAACGAGGAAGCACAAGAGCTTGTCAAGATCCTTAGACGCGTTCCGTTTCAAGCCTCAAAAGCCCATTTCCAAGGAGGACATCTCCCGGAAATTCAAGAAGAGCGGCGGCCGGAAACGGTGGTGGAAGAGCGCTCTGCTATTCTTCAAGTGGAATACGACCGCCGGCGCCCCCCCAGTCGCCAAAACCGAGGGTGATTCCACCGAGCGTGGGGCCAACCGTAACCGTGCCCGCGTGAGATCCGTGTATGGGCCGGTGTACTACATCAGCGATAGTCGAAGTGGCTCCGGCGGGAAACCTTACCGTACCACCGGCCGGCCGTCGTCTACCCCGCTCGCCGGAACTTTGAGTCCTTCCGGTAAGGGTGAGGTGGAGATACCGTACGTTAGTCTCAGGGATCTTAACATGGAGAAGCAGCAGTATTATAGGATGCCTGCACCCTCTTCTACCTTACCAGTCTATTTGGTCACCTAAAATTTAGACTGCTAATTATTGTTGGATTGATTGCTGAGTTGAATTATAACGACTCTTTTTTCTCTTTTTTCCTTTTAAAATTATATTTCCAAACGCATATTACTCGTATTAGTCTCAGATGTAATTCACTTGTTCTCTTTATTTATTTTCTTTAAAGCGTATTACCAGTGGGAGAAGGGGACCAAAATGGTTGCCATCTCCAGCATGTGACCTTTTGGTCACTTCTTTGTGTTTTTCTTTAAATTTTGGCGGAGTTAATTGAAGTTAATCCGAATTTGGTCGCCGAAATTTTAATGATCTACAATGGTGCATCAAAATGACATGTTTATGAGTCTAATTAACTTTATAGGTAAAATTTTTTTTGAATGATACTGACTATATGTTTATGATGAGTCTAATTAGCTTTATAGGTAAAGTTTGAATTTTTTTTTTCATTTTTCGAATGATACTGACTTTATTACATTGGAGTCAACAACCGCCTCCACAGAAACTCGATCACATAACCTCCTATATGAGAGAGGTCACTACATGTCATTTATATACAAGGTGTTTGACGGTAAAGTTTGAGGCTTATTCGACTCTTTTTTTTTTTTCTAAAATTAAATTTCTTTGTTTTTTTGCAACAAAAGCTGTTCTGCCAGCTAGTCATGTAGAAATAAATATTTACTTAAAAAGTTTTGAATTCTTGTCACGTGAAGCCGTTAGATAATAAATTGACTTTCATCTTATATGGTCTAAAGACTTTTTATCCTATTATACTTTAACGTCAAAAATAGAATTTTTTTTATTATTTAAAGTTGTTTTTTTTTTTTAATTTTTATTTTTTATAATTAGAGTTTAGCTTCTTTTTTTTTTTTTTTTTTTTTTTTTTTCTTTGGGTTTGATTTTTTTTTTTTTTTTTAATATCATGACTTTCAAATTAATCTATATTTGAGGAGAAATTTCCCTGTATTTGTTGATGCCCTTCATACAATATATTTTTTGTAGACGTGATAACCACTATAATAAACATGTTGCTTAGCCATTTTATATTAGAATAAAATGTTCGAATAGGTCAACATACGAAAATGTAATTAGTTCATGCAACTTAAAAAAGTTATAATTAGGTCATTGAACAATCCAAAAAGCCTTTAAAAAAAATCAAAAAGCGTGCAATTAAATCATAATTGACTTGTTTTCTCGGTTACTGCTGACGTGATGGCCATTCATTAAAAAATTATTTTTTATTTTATTATAATCATTTAAATTAAATAAAATAAAACCAAAACCCACTCGCCTTTGTCTCTGACCGAAGATAGGAAATTAAACTACTTTTGTCTTCCCCGGGGATGAAGATGTTTACTTCGTCTCTGGCCAGAATGAAGACATTTCCTTCATCACTAGTCAGAGATAAATGCGGGGTGGGATAGAGTTTTTTATTTTATTTTATTTTATTTTAGATTATTATAATAAATAAAAAATATTTTAATAGAATGATCATTATGTCACCGGTAACTTAAAAACATGTCAATTTTTGTTTAATTGCATGCTTTTGGACGAGTCAGGGTTGGCGACCACCCTGACTAAACTTTCTTTTTTCCTTTTAATTTTTTTTTTCCTTTTCTCTCCATCATCTTTTTCGTACATGGTCTGAAAAAATCTAACCAAAATATTTACTCTGGGGAATGTTTCAATGAATGTGGAAGAAATGCTATTATATCAAATAAACTAAAAGCAAAGTTTGAAATCTTACATTTCCTATATTAATTTTACTCTCCCTTGAATCAAACCATGAAATATGATAACTGCAGGGACGGAGCCAGGAATTTTGTTGAGGGGGGGCGAAATAGGGATCGATTCACAAATTTTTTTTTTCAGTAAAGGCGAAACATTAAAATAAAAGAGATATTTAAAAATAAATAAATAAATTACCTAAGAAATATAGGTGTAAATATTATTGGATATGGGCGAAAAATAAAACAAATCGAAACTTTATAAAAATATTTATAACAAAATATGAAACATAATTAATTTGATAAAATAATTTGAATATATATATATATATATATATATGTGTGTGTGTGTGTGTGTGTGTGTGTGTGTGTGTGTGTGTGTGTGTGTGTGTATCAAATATTAAAAAAACTATTAAAACGTGATTGTGTTAGAGTCATAGGGAAGGAGCCAAAAAACTATATGATTCAAAGGCCTAACCTTTATTATAACCAAATGCATGCTCTACCAACTAATTTAACTCATTTCTTATCAACAATTAACAGTTTTTATATACTAATACTCAAAAATGTACTATATATACATATATACATACAAAAATTATATATGGGTAGGGGTAGGGGTAGGGGTAGGGGTGGGGGTGGGGTGAGGGGGGGCAGCTGACCCCCCTGCCCCCCTTTGGCTCCGTCTATGATGATAAGTAGTATTATAATATTTACATTCCTGAGATTTTATGGTGTAACTTGAACTAAAATAATTTGAACCAATTTTATGCTTAAAAATTTTGCTACTTAAATAAGACGAAAAATAAAACAAAAAAGTTATTGTCGGGAAATGGGTGGATCTGATGGTTTGCACTTTGCAATTGCATGTGAGTTTGTTCAGAAATCTAAATATTGGTAAGTCGAAGCCCCAAACGCCAGATCATGTTTTGGGTATGGATTTCATTAATTTGATTTGACGTTTATTGGTTGAGGCTACTGATATTCCTTGTGACCGTTTTACGCCCCAGTTTTGGCCCCACGCCTCAATTTTCCTTTTACATTTCTAATCCTAATCCGACCTGACTATAAAAAAGTTTATATTGCTGACATCCAAACTATCTACCGTGGTCCCGAATCGCGTACTCTCTTCAAAGCGTCAACTCTATTCCTAGATCTCGTAAGATTTAGGAAGTTTTTTTTTTTTTTTTTTTTTTTTTTTTGAAAAATAAGATTTAGGAAGTTTGAATCTAACTATTTGAATTTTTTTTTTAAAATATAAAAATATTATATTTAAATTTATGTTATATAACTAAATTTATCTCTTTTTCTTATTAAAAAAATTACAAATTGTAATTCAAATAGTATACCCTACATTTGATGTAGTAACTTGTATATGTGGGTCTCCCCCTCCCCTAAATATATATATGGGAAAATGACACTTTTTCCCCCTGAGTTATATACTTATAGCACTTTTTCCTCCTGAATTATTTAAGTGGCTCTTTTCCCCCCTAAAATGTTAAATGAACATATTTACCCTTAAAATAAATATTTAAAATAAATATTTCATTTATTTTTCTTCTCCAACAAATTATTACTATAATTTGGTTCAAACCAAACAGATATTATAGCAACCAAACCAAAATATTCCAATTACAATTTAGAATCAAAACGCGATATTTAGAGTTTATTAAAATCGCAAATCGAAATGGTCGGTTCATGTTCCGAACTGAAAAAATAAAATACATTTATTGTTGAATTTAGACTATTTTAAAATAAAAAATAAAATAAAATTTAAAATAAAGACGGTTCAAAATCACGAACCGGATCCGAAACCGCCGGTTCACGGTTCATCTAGTTTTTTTGGTTCATAAATTTAATAAATTGAAATCTAAATATTGGATTCTAGATCTGAATCATAACCGGAAATTTTTAATTCGATTGTTATAGTGTCCGGTTCAGTTCGAACCGAACCGTGGTCATTGCTACATATACACAATAATTTGTTGGAGAAGTAAAATAAATAAAATATTTACTTTAAGGGTAGAAATGTCAATTTAATATATCAGGGGGAAAAACAACCACTTTTAAAATAATTGAGGGGGCTAATGTGCTTACATAAATAATTGAGGGGGAAAAAGTGCTATAAGTATATAACTTAGGGGGAAAAAGTGTCATTTTCCCTATATATATATATATATATATATATATATATATATATATATATATATATATATATATATATATATATATATATATATATATATATTGTACGCTACATTTTTATTAGACAAAGTTATTATTATAATTTTATTGGACATTCAGATTATTTATATACACTTAACATATTATGTATATTTAGTTAACAAATTATGCACATATAAATAAACTAAAGGTATAATATGTTTGTTGGTTTTACGGCTAAGGGTAGCCAGACGACGGGTCAACACTACCGTAAAAGTACTAGGTAAACAAAGGAATATTTCGAGTAAAATGTGAGACAGAGTAATGATTAGTGTATTGAATTCAGAACCCTTTACAGTGTGACCCTAAAGGGTATTTATACAAGAAATATTGCCTTTGAAGAAGGAAAGAAAGAAGAAATTAACTAAAATAGTTTTAAGAAAGCTTCTAAAATTAAACTGCCACAGTATCTTCCTAATGTGAAAATTGGAAGTTACTTGATGTACAAGGATACAATATCTTCCTCATTTCCCGCAAGATACGTTTTCGAAAAGGCAACCCTTTATAACCGACCATCCGATGAGAGACAAATAGTCAAACATTATAAACAATCCGGTGAGAGACACGTGTCACAATCTGGGCAGGCCATCCTTATAAATAGTCAAACCGCTCCACCCATTTTTTCTTTCATTCTCTTCTCATTTTTCCCTGAATTCTCTGGCAACCTCCCTTCTCCCTTCAAACTTCCTAGTGACCTAGCGCTTTTCTCCGGCAACTAGTCCCCTTCCGAGTCTATTTGGTTCAACCTCCGACCGTCATTTCTTCACTTCTCTCGAGTTTAGCCCCTCCTTTCTCCTTTTCTTTTCTTCAATGTCGTCTTCCAGGACCTCTATTTCTTCTCCCGTCGGCCTTCAAGGCATTACCTCTAACTCTTCGGGGCGGTGAATGCACCAGGAACCTCCTCCGTTGCTCCAATCGACCATCCAATCGATAGGGAACTAGGTTTCTTTAAGAACCTAGAGTGGTCAGTCGACCGCCGTTCCACCCTTTCCACCGTCGACAACAACCATGCCCGCCGACTACTCGGCGCGGCGGCTGACACTTGCCGCCTCGGCGAACGACTGGTTACCAACGCCCTGGAGGGCGGTTTTGTGGGTATCCATTACCAGTCAGTATGCTATAGGTTTCGTGTGCTTGTTTTCCCTCTTCTTTCCCTTCTTCTTCCTTACTATAG